TTTTTTTGCAGTACTGGGGTTTGAACTCAGGACCTACACCTTGAGCCACTCCACTGACCTTTTTTTGTGATGAGTTTTTTCAAAATAGAGTCTCACAAACTATTAGCCCGGGCTGCCTTCAAACCGTAATCCTCCTGATCTCTGCTTCCTGAGTAGCTAGGATTACAGGTGTGAGCCACCGGTGCCCGGCCCTTCTATGTCTTGACTCTGTCTTGGTTTCAGGGTGGCTGTAGCAGATCCAGGTATCACATTCAGATCAAATGCAGGTTTGTGGGGGCTTTCCCTTCACTGTATTTAAAAACAAGGACAACAATAAAGGGTCTTTGCTTATTAGACTGGGTTTGAGATAAACTGGACTCTGGTCAGGGTTTCTGGATTTTCACATGGCGTCAAAATCGAATTTGAAGAGGCTGAAGTCAGGAGGATTTGTGTAAGCTCTGCCATTTCCATGTGGAATTTCCTTTTCCCATGTTCTGTGGCTTCCCAAACCAGGGGTGCCTCTTTCTGTGGTCCTGCTTTGCTTCATTTCCTGCATCTCCCAGGGGAGGGAGGATTTGGTCCCAGGACTGGCCCAGCCCTCTCCTAGTATGGTTCTAGAAAGAACTACATTAGAGTTTCGTGCAGCAGGGGAGGGGTGGGAAAGGAAACAGCTCAGTAACCTGAGAAATCACAGAAGAAGGATTCCAGTTTGGGCCCCTCATGTCTACACATCTAAACAAGCAAGACTTCCCATCCCCAAAGTCTCTTGCTCTTCCTCCAGGTGACACTCTGGGAGGAATCTGATCCATGTCGTGTGACTGTGCACATGGCCCTCTTCCCTATGTGTTCCTTTCCTTTTATTGCTTCTTCCTTCCCTATCACCCTGCTGAGTCGTGGCCTCGCCTCTTTTATACCCCAGATTCTGCAGGCCCTGGGGAAGTCCTACCACCCTGGCTGTTTTCGCTGTGTCATCTGTAATGAGTGTTTAGACGGGGTGCCCTTCACTGTGGACTCAGAAAACAAGATCTACTGCGTTCGAGATTATCACAAGTAAGGAGGGAAGGAGTGGATGGGGACTGCACATGGCCATGCTGACCTCAGCAGAGGGTGGGAATAATGCCAGCATGTTTGTAGCTACTTGTCCTGTTCAGCCTAGTGGTTATAAGAGTTTAACACGGGCCTGGCAGGTTATTTGATGCTGGCATAGATAAGAACTGGTTAAAAGTCATGTTGGGGCTGGGTGTGGTGGTGCATGTCTGTAGTCCCAGCCACACAGAGGGAGAGATGGGGGATCGTGGTCAGAGGCCAGCCCTGGACAAAAACTACACCAAGTAGTAGAACACCTGCCTAGCAAGCATGAAACCCTGAGTTCAGGCCCCAATATAAAAAAAAAAAAAAGTCAGTTTAATGAAAAATTTAGAACAAAAATGCTACTACCCTGGCTGGTGTGGTGGCTCAAGCAGTAAGAAAGTCTGCCTAGCAAGCATGAAGCCCTGAGTTCAAACCCCAGTGCAGCAAGCAAAACAAAAGAAATAGCTAGTACCAGCTTCCTGACTAGACTTCAAGAGGAATCCACCAAGTCTCTGGCTCCAGCTTTGCCTACTGTCACCAGGTACCAGGTCAGGGTTGGTTTCCACCACTCTCAGTTTTCCTGGGCTTTATGAAGCACCAGGAGAGGAGCAAACAACCAGGTTAGACTGTCCATAGGGGAGGGAGGGGCAGCCAAATGTCCTGTTCCAGCTGGGAATAATTCCAAAGCAGTACTGAAGTAGATGGCATAGAACAAGCAGGAGCAACCTTTATCCAAGGGCTGGAGCAATGGGCAAGAGGTGGCCCTGTGCAGGCTCTAGTGCAAGTCTTATTCTGGGCCTCGCCTCTCGGAAGCAACACATGGTGTGCTGTATGGCTTTCTTGTTTTTCCCTCAGGGTGCTGGCCCCAAAGTGTGCAGCCTGTGGGCTTCCAATCCTTCCACCTGAGGTAAGAACTTTTTCAGAACTTAGGGTCTTCTAAGATCAGAATCTCTCCCTGGGCTCACAAGATGCTGTGTTTTGTCCTTACACCTTTCAAAAGATCTCTCTAAAATCCCAACTCTGAGATAAGCAGTTTTACCCCTCCTCTCTCCCATGCTCTTCTTTGTGCCTGTGTGTCCCTCTAGCAGGTCAAACTCTCTGACTTGATACTAACTCAGACTGCAGATGAGCAGAAAAGCTTGTCTTTATTTGTTCTTAAAAAGTAAATGTCAGCTGGGCTAGCTATTCAGGAGGCAGAGATCAGGAGGATCATAGTTCAAAGCCAGCCCAGGCAAATAGTTTGAAAGAGCCTATCTTGAAAAAAAACCCATCACAAAAAACGGCTGGTGGAATGGCTCAAGGTTCAAGCCCCCAGTACCAAAAAAAGTAAATGTCCCCTTTGGTCTTTTTTTCTCTGACATTCTGGTAGGTAATGCTGTCTCTACCCCCACCTTCTTTCTCATTAACTAATTCTGTTCTTTTTCCTACAAGTGTTTACTGCTGATTTGTTTTTACCCAAAGACTCCCTAATTGTTACTCCAGAATCTCTCCCTCCCCACACCATGACCCATGGTATACAATGGTCCCCCAACAGCCTCTTCTGCATGTCTTGCTTTTCTTTGGTGCCAGGGCTCAGATGAGACCATCCGTGTGGTGTCCATGGACAGAGACTATCACGTGGAGTGCTACCACTGTGAGGTAGGCCCCCCTGCCCAGCCCCCAGAGTCCATCATAGAAAAGCCTCCTGTTGCTGGGACCATTGATGGTCACAGGGATCTGGCCAGGGTCTGTGCTCTGCAGCTGATGGGGGGAGGGGGCACAGGGACGTGAGGTCTTCATCCTACTCTGTGACATTAGCACTGGCGGGTCCTGAAACTCACAGCTGCTTTTCCTGAAGCTGCAGCGCTCCGAGGGGCTTGTGCATGTGGGCTCAGGTTCTGTTTCAGGGTAAGTTGTCAGGCAGGTATATGATTGGCAGGAGAGACTCCCTCCCCTCCAGCAGGTAGGCTGTTCTAATATCTGCCAAAATTTCCTTTCTGAGCCTAGCCCTGGAAAAACCTCTCTTGGAAGCAGGCATGTCAGCTGGTGGGTGTGAAGGTGGATGGGGCCATGTGCCCTCCTCTGTCCTGTGTGACATCCCACATTGAAGAAGTCACTAGTGTGCTATGATGGTTAGGAGAGGCAGGGGATCGCCCTCACCAGCTGTGGTGGTGCCCGTTAGAATTTCATCCATACCTGTAAAAGGAGATTAGATTCGTTTTGGGACTACGTATGGGGGACACATAGATTGGTCCCACTGCCAGCACTGCAGAAGTAGGTGTGGCTCATGGGTGGTACCCCAGGTGCCTGGAGAAGAGGGTGAAGGTGTTTGATCACCTTTCTACACCTTCTAGACTAGCATTGTCCAGCAGAGATAGAGACACCACAAATTCACGACATGTGTGTCCTTTGTGGTTTCCCAGTACCCACATTTATAAAGTTAAAAGAAACAGATGGGATGACTTTCTTTAATCCAACAGATCCAAAATGTTATCCTTTAGACATATAATCAATATAAAAAGTTATGTGTGCTAGGCACGGTGGTACATGCCTGTAATCCCAGAACTTGGGAGGCGGAGGCAGGAGGATTGTGAGTTGGAGGCTAGCCTGAGCTACGTAGTTCCAGGCAGCCTGGGTCATATAGTGAGACCCTGTCTCCCTGTGTTGCAACCCCCCACCCCCAAAGAAAAGTTATCTGTGAGTTTTTTGTTTTGTTTTTGTTTTTTTGTTTTGGTCCTCTTTTGCCCTATTCTTGGACATCCAGTGGCATTTGCTCTGACGGCATGTCTTAGTTGTGACCAGCCCCATTTCAGGTTCTCCACAGCGACATGTAGTCGTGGCTCCCATATTAGACAGAACCTCTCTGGGCAGGAGCTGCACAAAAACACACAGCACCCTGTGCTGATTTGTGGGGACTTGTGGCCTTTGTATCACCTTCGTGGTCTGTTTTGTTTTGTTTCCACTGAACATTCTTGCTTCTCCCCCAGGACTGTGGTCTGGAGCTCAATGATGAAGATGGTCACCGCTGCTACCCGCTGGAAGACCACCTGTTCTGCCATTCCTGCCATGTCAAGAGGCTGGACAAAGGCCCGTCGTCCGCAGCCCTCCACCAGCACCACTTCTAGGTCGCAGAGCTCAGCCAGGGCTGCACAAAGAGAAGTCAGCCCCACACTTGGGGTGGAATTGGGGTTGAGGAGGAAGAGGGGTGGACAGGCAAGTGCCCACGAGAGTGAGGTGTGCCTGTCCCTTAGCCAAGGAGGTGCACGCTAACTGACTGGTACAAGGGTTTTTCTCCATCGCCACACCTTGTCAGGTTCCTCAGGTAGATGCTCTAGCATGTGTGTGGCGTGAGGCCCGCAGTGGCATCAGTCAATTGAACACACCCGACTCCTGTGGGGACAGTTTAGGGGAAGAGACTTTGCAAGTAGCACATTTTACAACACGTCCAGAAGTGACATCTCAGCTGCAGAGACATCTAACCCTTTCCCTCTAGGAAAATACCTCCCAACACGTGTGCACCCCAAGGCATGACTTAAGGCCTCTTTATACCCATGGTGTTAGCTCTTCTGAACTTTCATTGCATAAAGGCAAGAAGGAAGTGTGAACACGTGCTTTGGAGCCTAAGAAGAATTTGCTTAGTAAACCAGAGCTAAGCTTTGACATCACTGAGGCTGGGTTTCCTCCTTGTGCTCTGACATCCTGCCCTGTGCCCTTGCCAGTCTGCCTGCCCCTAAGGCAGCTGGGCCCTGACAGAGGCAAGTTTGGGGAGAAGAGCCGGTGCAGGCGCCAGGACTCTTGCTCACTGCTCTGTGCCATTTTTCTTTCAAAGCTTTTGAGAGTGTGTGACTTTGGAGCTACTCCTGCCAAGGCAAGTCTTATCCTGTGTGGGACATCTCTGGTGCCTGTTGTGGCTTATTTAATGATGGACCTTTTGGAAATCCTGTCCACATATTGAGAACTCCTAACAAGGACAGTTTTGTGCGTGTGAGACCTTGAAGTCAGCAGGGTGGGAAGTGCCTCAGGACAAGTTACTAGTCATTCCAGAGGTTTCTCTCATGCCTACTTCTTGGCACATGCATTGTATTTGAAGAAACCAATATAAGGTACACTGCTTTTGTCTTTTTTTTTTTTTTTAATTGTTTCTCTCCACTTTCATTCTTACACACACACACACACACACACACACACAAATACCTCACAGATAGAGCTTCAAATCACAGGAAGAATTCAGCCATCATCCTGGATACCTTCTTTGATGTGTTTGAAATTGCTGGCTTCACATGTGACACTCCAGCTGGTCAGGACCGTGTGATTGTAACTGAAGGTCAGCTGGGAACAGATCCAGCTGAAATTCTGGCCATAGGCGTTTCAGCATGCTGACTTCCAGGGTGGTGAGGGTGGTGAGGGCCACACACTGATGAGATTTGACGACCACCTGTGCACTGGAGAGACCAATTTACTCTGAGGCCAAGGGTCACTACTCCTTGGTGTTTCAAATGGAAGAAGCTTTAAAAAAAGAAGAAAGAAAAAGAGATTGGTGGCCTCTTTGTCTGGAGGGAGGACCTCATGGCTTGTGGCAGGAGGGCCAAGGTGTCTTGCTGCTGCCATTCTGGGCTAGAGACATGGCAGCCGGCCTCTGCACTCTGCCTCACCCCTCCCAGCCAGAGCGAGAAGACTGGGTGCTGGGCTGTGGAGGATGGTCAAGGGCTCAGCACAAGTGAACGCAAGACTTTTCTCTTGGCCCAACTCCACACCTGTAGGCTGCCATGTTTGCACTCATTTGGTGGCCATCGCTTGTGAAAAGGGCAGAACTGGCACTATAGATTGCCTTTTCCAGTTTTTTAAAAAATTCATCCCGTTGGAATTCTTTGAGCAGAATGTCACTTCCTCCATTCCTGTTCCAGGCTAAGCTTCCTGGGAGCCTGAGTCTGGGCCCCTCTCTTCCTGTCAAGTCATCCAACTCAGCTTTGGTAAGGCTGGTGGGGAAATGAAGCTAGCAAACATAGTTTAGGGCTGTCTTTGCCAACCCTGGGACAGTAGCCTTGCTCACACACTTTTGTCCCACTTTCAAATCAAGCAGGGTCAAGAAAATTGCATTGGAGCTACAATCAGAAGAGATTCGTTTGCTGATAATTAATTTGTGTGATTAATTCTGTGATTAATTTTTTAATGAAAATTTTTAAGGAGCCTTGATTGAGGTGATTCAGCTGTGTTTGCAAATACATTTTATATCGTTGAAAAAGAACAATAAAGGTATTTCCAGACATGCTAGAAATTTGAGCTATGGACTTCCCTGGTTGTCCCTTTTTTTGGAGAGGACACAACTGGGGATCTCAAATGAGTTTTGTTTCTGTTTCAGGTCCTTGCACAAAAACCATGAGGTGATGCTCGTCTATCTGGGATTTTAGGTGTTTTATACATTACTAGCTAAATAGAACCGCGGTGGTATTGCATTTATGGGCACACAGGAAGAATGCACAAGGGCTTGGTAGACCAGGGTAGTAAGTTTGGTTTGCAAGTTGGAATGAATAGCCTTTTTCAGTTTCCTGGACAAGTCTTGGATCTCAGCAAACTAGGAGGACAAAGGCCTGATCCCAGGATCCTAGACCCCAAAGCCAGCTTCCATTCTCCCTGGCCTTGTTTTGCCCTGTAGGCATTTTTCACCATCTCCTCCCTCCTTACACTCTTTCCTTTTTTCTCCCCCTAGCTTGGGCCATCCAGGTAACGCCTGGGTGATCTGAAAAAAAAAAAAAAAAAAAAAAACCCCAAAACTGGTAACTCACTTTGATCTGTCACACATGGGTTCTCACTTGCTTACTGATGTTCCTCTGTCATTTGGTGAAGAGACATTTGTCATCTCTCACCACAGAAAGACAGTCAGTCCTAAATAGGTCATTGCCTGCAGGGCACCAGGATGGAACTTTCCATTTTCTGAGTGCTCAGGGAACCCTCTTTCATCCCAGCCTTCCAAGCTTCTGATGTTGAGTCCTGGGTGGCTGGTAGAATAATCAAGGGATTCTGATCATCTTCAGGCACTATCGTTGCCTTGTTTGTACTCTTGTTGCCTTGTTTGCATGAGCTTGAGTTGCAGAAAATACAAAATAAGGTTGTTAAGACTTGAGAGAATTTTTGTCTTTGAATTTACAGACCTTTGCAGTCCTTTAAAGATTTTTGTATTTTGTTTTGAGACAGGATCTTCACACTTTGCCCAGGCTGGTCTCAAACTGGTGATCCTCAGACCACTGCCTCCTGAGTATCTGGGATTACAGGTATATACCACCATGCCTGGCTCAAAGGCTGTTTTTGTGTGCCAGTCCTCATGCATGGAGAATCGAGAGCAGCATGGCTTGCAAAAAACAGCATCAGATGACCCCAAACTATACTTGTTTGATGCACTTGTTAAACCTGCCAGGAAACTAAAATTTTTTGTACTTTCCTTTGCCAAAAAATCACTCCTAATTTCCCAGTTAGTATTTGAAGTGACTTTAACAGAAAAAAAATGAGTAAAATATGCTTGCTGTCTTTGATTTGAGCGCAAACTGGACAGATGTAGGCAATCATCATAATAGGGTATGAAAATTTCACTGTTCAGGGAATTGTTTTCCTCTGTTTCTCTTCTTTTACTATAAAGTTACTCAGAATTTTACTGTTACTATAAAATGACTTAAAGTATTGTGACAATAAAGGTATCAATTTGTAGGCTATTAAAGTGCTCTCCAATATAACCAGGCTTACTGGGTCTTTTGTGTGTATATGTGTAGGTAAGCAGACAGTGCATTTTCTACTTGGATTTTGTCATCTTTTTAGAGCTCTGGATTCTTAAATCTATGGGCATCAAACCTATGAAGTATCTGAGATTTTACCTTACTAGCTTATAAATTAGCATTCCGTGCCCTGGGGGTAGTGGCTCACACCTGTAATCTTAGCTGCATGGGAGGCAGAGATGAGGAGGATCATGGTTTGAGGTCAGCCCAGGCAAAAAGTTTAGGAGATCCCATCTCAACCAATGGCTGGGCATGGTGGGGTGCATTTGTTATCCCAGCTGTGCAAGGAAGCACAAGTAGGAAAATTGAGGTCCAGGCTGGCCTAGGCATAAAACGAAACTGTATCTCAAACAATAGCCAATGAAGAAAGGGCTGGGGGTATGGCTCAATTGGTAAAGAGCCTGCCTAGCAAGTATAAAGCCCTGAGTTCAAACTCCCATAATGTCAAAAAAAAAAATAGCATGCCATGGTTTCATTGATCCTGGCAGAAATTATGGGACAGGGACAGTGAGAAGGTCAGGGACAAAGGACAGCTTATGACTCATCAATAGCCAGACCAGCAGCACATGCATTGGAATTGAGCCCCAATTCCTGCAGTGCCCCCCTAAAAAGAGGACCAGGCAATACCTGCAGACGCAGTGGGCCACAGTACAAATGGGATCCCAGGCTTACAGAAGGGAACTTTGTCTCATAGCGGACACCAAGCCTGACTTTGGCTCCAGAAAAACACACTATCCTCCAATACTGTTTACTAACATCCCTGATAAGGTAGTCTGGAACAAAGGTAGGTGGTGTGTATGCATAAAAACTTGAGAGGCCTTGGAGAACTATATCCCAAGAATCAATTTTATTTATTTATTTATTTATTTATTTTTGTGGGACTAGGGATTAAACCTAGGGCCTTGTACTTGCTAGGCAAATGCTCTCCCATTTAAGCCATACCCCATGTGTGACCTATTTTGTTTCTGAGACACGGTCTTGCTAACTTTGCCTGGGTTGGCCCTGAGTTTTTGATTCTCCTGACTCTGCCTCCTTAGAATCTGGATTATAGGCAGGAACCACCAGGTCTGGCTGACAACACTTGTCACTTGCTGCTCCCTGGGCTTGTGTTAGGTTGCTGTTCTGTGGCTACCAGGTCCGATATATCAAAGGTACAAGAAAGCAGACTGAGCTGAAATAAGTGTTATCTTACACCCAATTACTCCCTCCCCTTTTCTTTCTGACAGCATCTCAGGCTGGCCTGAAACTCATGAGCCTCCTGCCTCAGCCTCTGAAGTGCTAGGATTACAGTTGTGCACCACCACACTCAGTTTGATCTTTTTCTTCCTAAGTGTTGAGAGAGCAGCTGGCCTGATTTTACAAACACTGGGCTCTTATTTTCCAATTGCTTTCAGGGGAAAAGGTAGACTGAGGCTATGGTGTACTGGTAACCTTTCTGGGGAAAAACTAAAAAGGCACGATGTGAAGTGTGTGCCAATTTCTATAATGTAACACTCTCACCACCACTGATTCCAGTCTGCCAATGTGGAGTCCTAGAACTTGGAGTTGGGAGGAGATAGCACAGTCAGGAGCAAGAGTGAGTTGGCCTCAGGCATTTAGGCAACTTGGGGGCTGAAGCCCTGGGGGAATCAGGTCTGGTTCTAAGTTTCATGATTGAAACAGGAGCAACAGTCACCAGGTGCCAGGTGTGATTCTGAGGACCCTCTGTTTTATCATCCCTCATTTTGTAGACAAAACAACTGAGTCACGGAAGGGTAAAACTGCAAAACCAAGTGCTCAGTAAAGAAGACCAGGACTCCGCCTCACGCAGTCATCCAGAGGGGGCTGTCTGGACCACTCTGGCTGCTGTGGAGTCAACTATCCTCTCTCACTTTGTTGTTTAGTCATTAAGTGGAGTCAAGGAGACCTCATCCTGAGGCTGTGAGGAGGAGCTCATTGAACTGGGTTTCCTATTGCTACCAAATGATCTCAAACTTAGAACAAGTTCGTTCTCTTATAGTCCTGGAGAAATGGTCTGTAAGGACTCACATGAAGGCTCTGAATTCCTTTCAGGCTAGGGAGACTCCATTCCTCTTCCCCTTTTAGCTTTGGAGGTTGTCACATTCCCTGGCTGGTGGCTGCACCCCTCTGGCCCTGCTTCTGTGGTCACACCTCCTCTTTCTGACCCGACCCTCTGCGATTATACTGCGATTATCCAATGGATTGAGCTCATCCAGGTGATCCAGAATAATCTCCCTCTCTCAGGATCTTTTCTCCAAAACTCCCCTTTGCCTTGTAGGATAAAATACTCATAGATCCTGGGGAGTGGAACATGGATATCTTGGGAGGGAGGCGTTATCTAGCCTACTGCAGATTCCAACAAGCTGCAGTGTTTTGGCAGTGCTGGGATTTAAAGTCAGGGGTTCGAACTTGCAAAGCAGGTTACTCTACCACTTAAGCCACACCTCCAGCTCCCAACAGGTTTTGTTTTTGGAAGAAGGGTGGAAATGAAAGAATATTCCTGGGATGTAAGATGACTTTTCTTCAAGCATTGCTAAAAGTGACATTTGCACTTAAAAGTGCAAAAAAAAAAAAAAAAAAAA